ATTGCACATGTTCATGCGCATATATAACTTACTATATAAGAGGGGCAACTTTACCATCACTATGTACAAAGTTCTGGTCAATAATGCTTGCAGATGGATGTTCCTGGCCATAATGGCATTGCTCTATTTCCTTGCCGAAGTATATTACCCCCCGAGGCTTCTCAATTCTTGAATCAGAAATGACCCCTGTAAGGCTTGGATTGGCTTACATGCATTCGGGCGAAGGTAGTAGTGTTCAACTTACTGGGGTTTGCGTTTAATGGCACAATCAGCCAGAGCCTAGGCAACTTGACTGGACTTTTGGAGATCAGGCTTAACAACAACCACCTCCTTTGTGGGCCGCTGCAAACATTCACCCCAGACGTTAAGGTGAGCAAAACTAGCAATTTTCATACAAACTGGATAAAAATGTTCATTCGAATAACAGGTGAAAGTACTATGATAATTTTTTAGGTAATCATGGAGGGAATTAAGTTGTAACCCTTTGCTTACTACCCGAATGTATCCAAATTGAAGGATGTTGTTGTTTGCATTAGTCCATTCCAGTATCTAGAGGTAGATATATCATTACAATAGACTATTATGTAAGTGACTTATCTCTATTACATAGCCCATGGGACATGACTTGCATACAAGGAAGCAAACATAGCCTAATAGGACTCCTAGACCAATACTAATACTTCCTCACACAGACAATGTTAGGTAATCTGTGCATCATCCTTAATATCAAAATTGACTTCGCTCCACTGCTGCCCGTTCTCCGCTGCTTGCCAAAACTGAAGAATATGACCTTGAAGCTCAGAATGGTACTTGTGCTGTTTTAGATAATTATGCTTTCGTAGTGTGGGTTTTGTTTCTTAACCTGGAACATTGAGCTAATGTGCTACGCTGCTGCCTTTTGACATGCTGAACGTAGGAGCAGCGTGGAGAATTCAAGGATACTGACCATGATCTGTCACCAAGGGAGGAATTGTTATCGGATGGCTATCCTAGCACTAAGAGGACCATGATCTACTGTAGCAAAGATGACCCAAGAGTCAACACGTTGGTGTAGGGTGCTGATGTCGATGGTCATCCCATTCCCAGGTGGGGAAATCAACGTCAAAGCTCACTAGTATTACTATACGCATTCCCTGGCACTGCCCCTCTTGCAAACTTTTGCTAGTTCTATGGATGTGTAGTGTTAAGAAGTGTCTTAAGCTGTGTCTTTCGTTGGGTGCTATGGATGGAGGATTATGCTAAGCATCCACTTAAGAGAGATTTGAAAGGGGGTGAAATTATGGACAGTACATGACCCGTTATCTGTTATAGAAAAAAATCTTGTAAGACTGCGGGTGTTCTCGTTTGACACATATTATCGACGGCAATGTGTTACTTTTATGTGGATAAGTATCAAATGCAGTCTGGTATGTTGTTCTGGGATGCTTCTCCTGGAGAAAGACGTAGAGACCGGCTGGCCGGAGGAAAAGAAGACCAGCACCAGCAGTCCAAGTAATCTTGCTGGGATGTTATGTTATCTAAAGGCTTCTGATGTCAATTCTCAGTTCATTTGTATGGCTACTCTTATTGTATTAACATGATCATCAACAAAAATATTCTACTGTCAATTTAGGCATCCCGTTCAGAATCTGTCAATTTGACCATTTTCAGTGACAATCAACTTATTAAAATAACACTAAAAAAACGTTTACTACAGTGAATAACTCAATGCTGTTTAACCTTATTACAATACAGCAAAACCTGACCAAATCAGTCAATTTGGTCCTGAAGTTCAGTCTCGTGAATCACGAGTCA